TGTCTATCTATAAAACGAAGGTACGAGAAAAATTTTACAAGATACTATCTCATATCAACACATGTTGATTGTTTGATATCCATTGCTTTTATGGACTTCATCTTATCCTTTTGAGTCGATTCGATTTTCTAGAAAGTAAGTTCGTAGTCTCATTTTTAGATGCATCCATGTTTCAATAAATATACTGATTGATCTTTTCAGTGTGCACAGCCATTCGTTTTTCTTTTTCTTATGTGTGTTATTATATTGACAATCCTTTTCCATGTGAAAGAGAATAATTATTCACCTTTCATAGTCCGAAATTTCTTTTTTAGATATTGTTTTTTCATAATCACGATTTTGAATAATATTTATTAGATGATCAACCCAAAAAAATCAATAAAACCATCAAGTATTATTAGATTTCATTGAAATTCTATAAAATCTAATAGAATCCTGTAGGAATATTTATACATAAAACGATCAAATGTAAAATCTTGTAAAATTAGACGAAATTGCACAAGGAATCGTAGGTTTAGAAAACTTACACGAAATCGTATGAAAAGTTTCTTGAAAGATCTTTCTGTATTATAACATTTCCCATAATCTTATAATATATATTACAAAAAAGTAAGATCTTACAAAAATTCGCTAGGACGATTTAGAATAAGATTTTTTTAGACTAAAATTTTCATCCGATATTGTAAGTTCATACAAAATCAAAGACATAATGTTGTAAAATTCTTCAATATTATTGTTTAACCGGAGAATTCATAGTATAGGAATCTGTTCAGGTTCGATCGAATAATAGTGTGAGCGTCTTGTATTAATTAAATAAGTACTACTTGAATTAAGATTAATTATGTAAATACTAATGAAAGTGTATAGTATTGAGAAAGAACGTTTTTAGTTTTGAAAAAATAAAAAAGAAGCTCATCCAGATCAGATGTGTTTAGGAATTTTTAATATTTTCTATTGTATACAAAAACAGATTTAGAAAAAAATTCTCATTTCATTCAAACAATCAAAGATTAACATAAGATCCAAACTAATTCTAATCTTAATTGAATTTTTCAAAAATTAAAATAAAGTTCTATAAAACTAGATATTAATCAGATGTGAATGGTGACTTTGAATTACAACTAAGTAATATATTAGAATATTTTATTTAACAAAAATTTTTAATAAAATAAAAAAAAAGAAATTAATTGACGATCTATTATTCTGAATATACGAATTATGGAAGAAATTATATCCAAAGACGAAATCTTGATACTTTAACATCCACTTTGCTATGAGGAAAACATTTTTTAACCATCGAACGATATAATTTCACTTTTTCAAGATCAATTCTTCCATGAATATCAAGAAAAACAAATTGTTGTAATTTTTCACTTAATTGACAAAGATCATTTTGAAAAACATTTACAAATTGAGCTAAAAATAAAATAAAAACATTGTTTTTTTTCTCTCAATCTATTATTTTTATTTCCATACCAATCGATTCAGATGTTTTTAAAGATTCGATCCATTGTGAAACATCAATATTATGAAAGTATCCTTGTCTCATATCCGGTCGAACTAAAAATCAAAAGAATAACAATATAAATTTATATTATCGTTAACTTTTTCAATCAAGGATATTTTTATTTTATTAATTAAGATAATTATTTTCTTTATTTCCCAACTTTCATTATTTTAAACTTTAACACTGACTAGATTCAAAATAATATTTGATAGGGAGATACCGCTGTAATTTCAAATAGAGTAAATAATGAATTTTATACCAAATAAAAGCCTGTCTAAAATGAGATTTATTCACCCGAATCAATAAGGATCATAAATGTTATTTGATGACAAATTTTGAAAATTTCAAGAAATTCATGAATAATAGGCATGGCAAATGTTCTGTCACAAAAGAGAAAGATCAAACTGGTTGTGAAATAAAAATACTGAACATACCAAAGTTTTGTTTACTTTTTATGGCTGAATGAATGCTAAAAATAAAATATAACTTTGCCACGCTTATTGATTTTATATATTGGTCAGTTGGATCTCTCTTCTATGACAGAATATTTTGCCATACCTATGATTCATGAATTTCTAGGCATTTTCAAAATTTGTCATCAAATAATATTTATAGTTCTTATTGATTCGGATGAATAAATCTCATTTTCGACGGGCTTTTATTGCGTATAAAATTCATTATTTATTCTATTTGAAATTACAGCGATATCCTCTGTTAAAATAATATTTCCAACCTAGTACATAATGATAAACAGTTTTCAATCTCTATCTACAGTTTAAAGTTCGAAAAGAGGAAAACAAGAAGAAAAGTATTTTGAAAAGAATATTATATAAATGTTGATGAATGACACAAGAAAAAATCAAAACTAGAAAATGTCAAATAGAGTAAAAGAAGAAAAACAGATTCGAATATCAAACCATAGAATTCATCAACAAGTCGTCATCTTTTATTCATACAATTGTTTTTCACGAAAAGAAAAATCTATTAAATTGACTGTTAGCGACGGTGATGATACATGCCGACGCTAAACGAAGAATCAGATGGTCCTTCTAGTTTAACTGGTTTAGAACATCTGCTCGGATAGCAGAAGGTGCAGGTACGAGTTCCATGAAGGTCATCTTTTTCTCCTTTCTGTCTGTTATATGTACTGACCCCATACAACTCACATATGTTGCTATCATTGACTACTACTACTACTTGTTTTTGCTTATTAAAAATCAATTGAAATGACATTTTTCATTTACTATAAACACATAATACCAATTCTGGCGAAAAAATTAATAAAATGATCAATCTTCATAAGAAAACTTATGAATCCAAATCTTCTTAGAATTTTCGTAAAGTACTATCTCGAATGTACGAATAAAATATCATTGGAAATTATATCAATCATCTAGGAACCTTTTCTCGTACAGACATGGACAAACATGACTTGTTTCGAATAGGAATCAGACCAAAATCGTCAATATAACGATTAGAAATAGACTTGGAATTCCACCTACCCTGATTGAAAGATAATTCTAAGTTTTGACAATACTAAGTTAAACATATATTTTGTTAAATATAGGTAGACGCGTCTATTTTTTATGAAATCGCTGTACACATACCTACTTTTAGAACACTGATATATCATTGGGTTAAAGCTGAAGATAGATCTATACCATCTTTAATGAAAATTTATCCAATTCGATCATTTCTGCCTGTGGAAAAAAAAGGTTCTATCGAAATCGGCAATATAAAGACGAGAAGCAGAATCGGAATCGAATCATCCATGTCTAATTTCGTAACCGATAAAACTTCACTGGAGATCAGATGTATGATTATAGTTAGATATTTTGTTTATTTTTTTCAAGTGAATTATATCATCAATCATCGTGACCGATTATAATAAAGTAGAAAAGAGAAGAGTTAAATAAACGTGTATCCTCATCTTGAGTAAATAAATTATATCATTATTAAAGACACTTAATCTTTGGAAGAATTACAGAAGACCTTTTAAAGAATTCTTTATATTCGTTTTATTTTTTTTCTTCTAAATTTGATTATGTTACTTATTTGTCTTGGACAGTTGATGCACTCAATAACCCTTGATCTCAGTTACATTAAATATTGAAAGAAAGAAAATGTCCTAACTATTGAACTTTGATCTAAGTCGATAGCAATAAGATGAACCGAAAAAATTCAATTTAACTATATACACAATTGTTTTCTAAAACAACATGTTAGTTTCGTCAACAAAGACTTATTGAATTCTCGATGAGACCAAAACCATTTTGAACATCTTCATTTTCGCATGAATAGATTTAATCGATGAAGATAAGCTTGCGAGGAAACCTCCCGAGATGCTAGAAAGCTTTTGAGCACAAATTTTGTTCATAATTACAGGATATATAGGCTAGAAAAAGCCTGAGTGGATATGGGCACAAGTTGTGACTTAGCCAAGGTGCCGAGTTTTTACAAGAATTTTTCTATGGGACTCCATTTTTCCCATAAAGTGAAAGTTTTGAATATTGATGTGAAGCTTTGCCTATATCAAAGTCTCAACTAGAGTAACTTATCAATAAAGTTTCACAATTTTTGATCGAAGCATTCTCGAGATATGAGTCTGTTACTATAAACATACTTGTCTACGGATATTGTAGTACGGATGGAATTTAAAAAACATATCTCGATAATACTTCGATCAAAAATTCTGAAANTCGTAGAGCTTGTCGAACTCCATCGGGTCATGTAAAAAATGTCTAGAAAACAATATGTCGCTTAAGATTTTACAAGCATATTTTGTTTTTTCAAAACATGTAACGTAAAAATCTTCGCTCAAGATTAGTAACATGATCATAACATTGTAATAGATTTATGAATTTCGAATTAGGTTTTTTCAGATGATAGCTCTAATCCTTCTCTACAAAATGACATAACTTGATCAATAACTTCATATAAGTTTGTTGTAGAGATCATCAATTTACTGAGAAGAATCGAAACTTTTGAACCACACTTTGCTTTGTGTGAATTATAATTGAGACATGATTTGGTTTTACGAATTCACTATCGAGTGAATCTTTTCATGTAACGATAATAATATGAATGATAGGTAGAAGTTAGCTAAAGCTAGTTAGAGAGTGGGTTCATGACTAGCCCGAAGTGTGAACAATACCCGTCAGATTTTATGCCAAAAGTCTCTCATACCCGTAATAACTAGTTACCTTGACAAGAAGTATCTTTTAGCCACGTCTGACCTAGTTCAGAACGCTTTCTTGAACTGCGTCAGGCCCAGTCCATTTTCCGGACTACCTCGTCTAGACGTGTTCGTAAACTAAAAGAAAGAATAAAAAAGAAAACAAGAGGTGAATTCGAACATCCAATCCATCAGACTTCAGTATTTGACGAGCGTTTTGACGCTGAATCATGGTTTACCGACAGACTGAAGCTAGTTTATACAATTCAAGTAGCAAAAAGAGGTGCATCCACATTGGATAACGCAAATGAATTTCATAACAATTTTCTTTCAATTAGGGTGTGACGTTGATAAAGAGGAACGACTCACACCCTCAAGAATACATTTTTTTCTTCATATCAAAATTTTTAAAAATTCTGCATAAAATCCCGATACAGTCGTGGACAAAAGTCCCGCAGCTAGGCAAAAACTATCTAGATGAAGGTTGTTTGCTTTGGAACTTCTACCATATGAAGAACTCATTGACCCTAGATCGCAGGCCAAGGCTCAAGTCCTAGTCTCTTGCCAAAGCTGAGATATACGGTCAACACGATGATTTTTTTCCTGTCGTGTTATCTCGGGTTAGGAAAGACATTTATTGTCGTTCAACCCATCGTTGAAAAGCCTAAGCCTTCTTCTTTATATAGTAAAAGTTTCATTAAAAACGGATGTACTTTCATTAAGTTATGAGGTATTCTCTGAGTATTTACGAAACTGGTATATTAGAATCTCACTAGAATTTGACCCAAATCTCGAGCTAGGATCAACCTTTAGCCTTGAAAATTGTATTGCAAACTGCTTACGTAACCTCAATTCTGCTCTCAAATTTTCAGAAGGAAAGCTATTAGAAAAGTGGAGATTCGCATCATTCTATATCTGAAGACCCACAGCTCTGGGAAATCACTATAACATAGCAGATTAAAGTTTCCTGCATACCATAAATAAGTCATCATCGGAACTACCTATTGCACCAAAAATATTAGTCTAATTCCATCAAATCTAGTAGAACCAGCAAAAATTTTATATACTACTGTTTTTCTCGTAAAATCGAAAAATGGTATTTTGAAGGTTTTTTTGTTTTTTATTCAATTCGACTTTGATAAAATCCAAATAATCTCATAAGTTTTCAAAGCAAATTGTTGTATTATTTCACGAACAACATGTTCTTGTTATCGGCAACTTGAAATTTGTGACAATTCATCTGGAGTTAACTTTTAAAAGGTTTTGAATTGAATCAGATTTACTAAGATGATGCTATATGATGAAATACCGCACAAAATTATGATCAGTTATAGCTGTTAATTAAACAAATTCAAATGGATGTTTATGTTTTTTTTTTATTAAGATAATAATATTAAACTTAGTACATGGTGTAGTCACCATTGGCCTCGATGAGACTGTCAACACGCCTTTTCATACTATCTATAAGATTCGATGCTAACTCTTGTGGTAAATCGTTCCATTCTTTCTCTATCGCTCTTATAAGTTCTTTGACTGTTGTCGGTCGCTTCTCAGCAACTTTAATCTTTAGTAACGACCACAAATTCTCTACAGGATTCATATCTGAACTCAAAGATGGCCAAGGTAACGTTTTTACATGATGATCTTCTTTCCACTTCACACTGGCTTTCGAGCGGTGCTTAGGATCATTATCTTCTAAAAGCACCCAATTCCTGCTCCGACCGAAATGTTCGCGTGCTGCAGGAAGAAGACCATCATGATAGATATTATTACATAAAAAAGTACTATTAAAATTATTTTTAAAACAAACAATTCGTCCGAAACCAACAGCAGATAAACAACACCATGCATTTATTTTAATTGTATTTTTAACTTTTCGACAAATTTTCCGTTCACCTGGCCGTTGCCAATAAAATCCTTTAATGTCATAAAGACGAAAGACCGATTCATCAGTTGCCATAACTTGATTCCAATCATAATTCATTAATGATCTGGCCCATGTTAAACGTTTCTTCTGATGATGTTCACTAAGAAGAGGTTTTGAGAGAGGTTTCAAATATCGAAACCCCGCTTCTCGGAGTCTTCTACGTATTGTGCGTGGATTAACATTAATACCTTCAGTTTGTACTTGTTCTTGCATTTTTTCACTAGTTAATCCTTCATCAACACCTTGTCTTATTAAACCAATAACAATTTCATCATCTGTTGTTGTTGTTTTTCGTGGTCTTCCTTTTCTCTCTCGATCACTAAGATCCTTCGTTTCTTCCCACCGTTTCAACCAACGAACGACTGTTGACCGGTTACAATTGACCAATTTTGCAATACGATTAATACCGAATTTCGCCCCATATTTGTTTTTTCTGAGAAAAACAATTTCATATCGTTTATATAGTTCAAGAGACATTATAAAGTCAAAAATTTTTATAAAATGATTTGTTTGAAAGTTAACCGTAAAAGAAAAATCCACCAATGTGGAAATGACCCACCACGATATCAAACGTCCAATTATAAAAATAAACCTTTATGTTAGAAAGATGTCGTAGTCTTATAATAAAATAAAAATGATGCCCATAGATGTATTCTCCTTAAAGATTTGATACAACTCTATTTATATTTGAATAAATACCATATAATCGTCTGCAATATGAACGAATTGTCACAAAGTTCAAGTTGCAGATAACAAGAAAATGTTGTTCGTGAAATAATACAACAGTTTGCTTTGAAAACTTATGAGATTATTTGGATTTTATCAAAGTCGAATTGAATAAAAAACAAAAAACCTTCAAAATACCATTTTTCGATTTTACGAGAAAAACAGTAATATATAAAATTTTTGCTGGTTCTACTAGATTTGATGGAATTAGACTACTATTTTTGGTGCAATAGGTAGTTCCGATGATGAATTATTTATGGTATGCAGGAAACTTTAATCTGCTATGTTATAGTGATTTCCCATAGCTGTGGGTCTTCAGATATAGAACGATGTGAATCTTCACTTTTCTAATAGCTTTCCTTCTGAAAATTTGAGAGCAGAATTGAGGTTGCGTAAGCAGTTTGCAATACAATTTTCAAGGCTAAAGGTT